ACAATTTGGGAGCATTGTTTCAAAGTTAGGGGGTCACCCTTTCGGACAGAGATGAGGAAAACATTTCTCTCTCAGAAGGAGGTGCCTCTAAAGGAGGTGGAAGCTGGGTTTCATATTTTTAAGGGAAAGGTGGATTGGAATCTTGTTCAGCAGGGAACCAAAGGTTATTGGTGATAGTTGGAAACATGGAATTCAAAACAAAAACAGGTCAGCCAGGATCATATCCAACTGAGCAAGCCCGAGGGACCAAATGGTTTAATTCTGCTCCTGTTTTCGTATATTCATGTGTTCGTAAGTCGGAGTGGCTTGGAATTACTGTTGCAGATGGTACTACATCTAATACTCCTGTTGTTCCAGGTGGTAATTGTTTTGGGTTTGTAAGGTGCTCTCTATGGAGCCTTAGTGAGCTTTTGCAGTGCATCATGTAGATGGTACACACAGTTGCTACTGTGCACGGTGGTGGAGGAAATGAATGTTGACAGTGGTGGATGTGATACCAATGATGTTGGCTGCTTTGTCCTGGATGGTGTTAAGCTTCGAATGTTGTTGGAGCTGCACCCATCCAGGCAAGTGGGGAGTATTCCATCACACTCCTGACGTGTGCCTTGTAGATAGTGGGCAGGCTTTGTGGTGTAGAATTCCCAACCTCTGACCTGTTCTTGCAGCCACTTTATTTATTTAAGTGGTCAGTCCACTCCAATTTCTGGTCAATGATAACCCGCAGGATGTTGATGGTGGGTGATTCAGTGATGGTGATGCTGTTGATCGTAAAAGGGGCTGATTAGATTCTCTCTTGTTGGAGAAGGTCATTTACTGGCATTTACTTGGTGTGAATGTTGCTTGCCACAGTCAGCCTAAGCCTTGATTTCTCCAGGTCTTACTGTATTTGATATGTACTGCTACAGTGTCAGAGGTATCGTGAATCATGCTGTACATCAGAGAACATCCCCCCTTTGATGTTATGATGGTCGTTGATGAAGCAGCTGGACCTAGGACACTACCCTGAGGAACCCTTGTGGAGATGTCCTGGAGCTGAGATGATTTACCTCCAACAACCACAATGATTCTTCATGGTGCAAGACATATCTTTCAAGCAATGAAGAGATTTCCTCCTGATGCCTAGTGACTCTAGTATCACTAGGGTTGCTTGATGCCAGATTTGTTCAAATGCTATCTTGATGTTGAAGGCACTCACCTTTACCTTGCATTGGCAATTCAGCTGTTTTGCCCATATTTGGACCAAGGCTGTAATGAGATCAGGAGCTGAACCAAAACTGAGTGTCAGTGAGAGTCACTCTGAAATTGCCACTGTCAACAACCCCTTTCTTCACCTACTGATCAATGGTAGACCGACAAGATGGTGATTGACCCATTTGGACATTTTCCTTTATGTGTACAGGACATACCTGGACAATCATGTGGAGTGAATCAAATTGGCTGAAGACTGGTCTCTGTGATGCTGGGGACCTCCAGAGGAGGCCGAGATGGATCATCTAGTCAGCACTTCTGGCTGAAGATTGTGGCAAGTACTCCAGCCTTGTCTTTTACACTGATGTGCTGGGCTCCCCCAACATTGAAGACTGTCCCATTTAGCACAGCAATAGTTCCATACAACATGATAGATTATATCCTCAGTGCAAAGACTGGACATCATCTTCAAAAGGACCACGCATTGATCAGTCCTACCACTACTGTCATAGACAGATGCATCTGAGCAGAAAGATTGATGAGGTTGAGATAAAGTATGTTTTTCCTGATTCTTGTGTCCTTAGCACTTGCTACAGAACCAGTCTAGCAGCTGAGTCCTTTAGGACCTGACCAGCTCTATCAGTGATGCTGCTGCTGAGCCACTTATGGTGATGGGTCATTGATTTTCCCCACCCAGAGAACAATCTGCTTCCTTCCCTCATTGGTTCCTCCAAGAGGGGGGTCAACAGGGCTGAATTTGCTATTGTCATTCCTAGTGTCTAGGTTGATACATGGTAATTTGTCCTATTTTGTTCTTTTCTTCACACTTTGTAGCAGTTTTGATACAACTGAGCTGCTTTCCATTTCAAAGGGCAGTTAAGATTCAGAGGGCCACATGGAGGCCACAACAGGCCAGGTAAGGATGACAGATTTCCTTCCCTGAAGGGTTTTTACGACAACTGACAATGGTTATATTGTTACCATTTGAATCATTTTTAATTCTAGATTTTATTGAATTCAAAATTCAGCAGGTTGGGATTCAATCTCATGTTCCCAGAACATTTGCCTGAGGTTCTGGATTACAAGTCTCCCCGCTCGCTTGAGTGCAAGAGAAAATTGAACCAGGGTACCGAAAAAAACAATACAGTCTCCATTTGCCTTGCTCTGGTTCAGTGAGGAGTGCTCTCACCCACAAGTTGTAGTTTTAGCCCCCAATCCTGGATTTCAGCGCAGAAAAAAAATTCAAAGGCTGACTCTCCAGTACACTCTGAGGGGGGGCTGCACTGTTGGAGATGCCATGTGTAACAATACTTTGGCTTTAAGAGGTGTATTTTGCCCTGTATTTTTTTGAAACAAGATTTTAAGACAGAGGTGCAGAGCTGTTTATTGAAAGCCCATAAACTGTGTGCACAGCCTGGGGTTTTTTTTTGAGGTTAGGACAATAGAAGCAGCCTAAATGGGTGGGGAAAACTCCCACAGAACCAGGAGTTTTAGTTTTAGTTTTTTATTAGCAGCTGCTGGGGTCTTGAAGCTAGATGCGGAAGCTGTTTTTCCTCTCTGTTACAGCTAAAAGCTGGGGTTCTCTTCCTGCTGCAAGAATTGCATATGAGACAGTCTATTTTACTGAATTTGCCTTTGCCAAGGATGTGTTTATGGGATGTTACTATGTTGGAACAGTTAATTAATAGTAGTTAATGTACATATTATTTTGTTAACCATTTCAATTGAGTTACAGTTAAGCCAATTCTTCTATTTTTATTTTTGTCTGTATTTTAACTGTATTGTAAAAGTAAAGTGTGTTTTGCTTAACATTGTGTAGTTTCGCAAATTGAATTGCAACTGGAACACAAAACCTTACACTTACCTATAAAATAAAAAAAAAAGTTAGGGTCTAGACTAATCTTCTGAATATATTTTAAGAGGGTTTAATCTGGCCCATAACACATATTTTGAATCAAACATTAAAGTGAGGTCCTATTTGGAGAGTCAGGGTGGTTAGAAAATACTGAAGAACATTTTGTGACACAGTGGTAGTGCCTCTACCTCTGAGACAGAAGGTCCAGATTCAAGTCCCAACTGCTCCAGAAGTGAGTGATAACATGTCTGAACAGATTGATTAAAAAATATCTAAAATAGTTGATATCTGAGATGATTAATTGTATTCACAAGATAAGCCTCATCTATCAGGATATAAAGCACTGTTCTTGGGAGGAACCAAACAGTCTATGTGTCTGTATCAACTTTTAGGTCTTAAATTGTATGTAACAAAACAATACATTCTTAAATCTTCAGTCTTAAAAGAGACTCTCATGTAACTCAGGTGTAAATACTATGTAATAAACCTGTTCAGCAAGACCAAGCCTTGCTAAAGCTGAAGGCTTCGTGTGGGTCAACTTCTCCACTTGGCATCAGTAACTTTGACCAAAATCAATTAGAGGAATTGGTGGCAGTGAGTCTACACAATGGAACTTAGATGGTACTGGTGGGCATTACCACAACATATACCAGTTACCTCTGGTACTTTGGCCAATATTTTACCCTCAATCAACAGTACATTAACAAATGTGGTTATAATCACATTGTTGTTTGTGGAAGCTTGCTGTGTGTGCACTGATTGCAGGATCCTGCATTACAACAGGACAACACTTTAATATAGTATATAATACTTTTGAGTTTGTATCATGTTTAATTAAATTGAAAAAGTAATGGCAAGTTAGGAAGCAGAGAGGTGGGGTAGGTTGGAGCATTTCCTCTGAAGCAGAGGCTGAAGTTTCGGGAGATGCAAATATAGAACACAGTGACTGCCTTGTTTGTGCATGAGACCCGTTTTAAGAAACAACCACTGTCTTATGGCAGAGATAACAAGGTGTAGAGCTGGATGAACACAGCAGGCCAAGCAGCATCAGAGGAGCAGGCAGGCTGACGTTTCGAGCCTAGACCCTTCTTCCATTTGGAGTACGCTAACGGTCTTTTTCAGGAAGAAACTGGTCAGATCCAGTGGGGCAAAAGAAAGTCTAAATTATTTTTGAAGAGCCTGGAGGAGCAGGAGTGTATCCTTCATGTTTTGTTGTGTCTTGCTGTTCCTGTGTGTTGTTTCTATTTATAGATCTAAGTATTAAATTGAACCTGCACACACTTGGCTAACAGAGATATATTGTGCCTTCTGATTGGCACAATCAGGAGAATGTGGCAGCTTTAAACAGGCACTATCGACAATAATTCGGGAGGAAGTCTCAACTGTGCGCACGGTAAAAGCTTCAATATGGGCTGTAGGGAAGGCTTTAAATCATTTAGAGGGAGGATGTATTTGGGAGAGGGGAAACGTAGGTTTTCAAAGCAAGAGGATATGACAGCATTACAAGCAGCTATTTAGTTAACATTAGGCTGAGAGGGCCAGGAAGGAACAGAGCATACAGACTTAGAAAAACAGTAGTAAATAAGGTCAAAAATGATAAAAAGGCAAAACTAATGGCGATTTACTTGACTGCAAGTAGAATTTGGTGGCAGAGTAGGAAGCTTCAGCCAGAGCTCGTCCACACCGTCTGTTTCTCTCTCGTTTCTTTCTCTTTTTTCTCTATCTTTCTCATTTCTTTCTCTTTCTTCTCTTTCTTTCTCATTTCTTTCCTTCTTTTGTTCACTCCGATCTCAGCACAGACCCAGCGAGGCATCCTCTTGGCGCAGACCAGCCCAGGGCGGTCTCTTGGCCTGACGTGGCAGTGCCTCTGCCCAGTGTCTTGGCCCGATCTCTCTGTGGCCCGTGGCAGTCTCTCGGCCCTGCATTGCGGTGTCTCGGCCAGGTCTCTTGACCTGACCTGGCAGTATGTTGGCGTGCGAGCCCCGGGCAAGTTCCGGAGGCAGCAGGAAGAGACCAGGGAGGTGGCAGCTTCAGCAGCAGCGATGGTATCGCAGACCAACACGGGAAGAGCGGGTGGTGAGGGAGCTCCCCCTGGCGTCTGCAGCGGTGGCAAGAACAGGCGGCTGCGGTCTCCCTTAGAGCAAGCTAAGTGGAGGACTCATCAAAGATTGCTGAACTTTTAACTTAATTCCTTTATTCTTCTAGTTTATATTAAGGACAACTTTAATATTAACTATTACCTTATTTCTTCACTTTTTTATTTATTCTATGAAAGTAGCACTTAACTTTTTAAACTTTGTTTCTTTTGCTACTTTGTGCCTAGATACCTTTGTATGTGAGATGGCACCATGTGTGACAACATTATAAACTTTTCACTGTACTCCTGTACTTCTATACTTGAGTACACATGACAATAAAATCTGAATCAAAGTGAATGATACAAATACAGGTTAATGGATATGATTTTATTGCCATTATGGAGACATAGTTACAAGAGGATCAAAGCTGGGAACTGTACATGACTTTTTGAAAGGACAAGCAGGATTGAAAAGGCGATGGGGTAGCATTGTTGGCCCGGGATAGGAATAGTCCATAGACGCACTAACGGTAGCTATATAATGGAACAGAGACTAAATTAAGAGATAGTGAGGGCATGTAACAAAGACGATAAATTAATCAATGGTGAATTTAATCTTCGTGTAGATTTGGATAGTCAGATCAGCAGAGATAGCTATGGGGAAGAATTCATAGAGTGCTTTTGGGACAGTCTCATAGAACAATATGTGTGGCTTCAACCAGGGATCAGGCTATTTCAGATCTGGTGATGTGTATTGAGGCAGGTTTAATAAATTATGTCAGAGCAAAGGATCCCATTGGAAATAGTGGCCATAACATGGTAGGAGTTAAAATTCAGTTTGAAAGGGCGAAACTTGGGTTGGAAACAACTGTGTTAAGCTTATATCAGGGTATTTACAAAGGAATGAAGGTAGAGCTGGTTGGAGTGCACTGGGGAAGGAAGTTGAAACAGATGAAGAACAATGGCGGCTGTTTAAGAAAATAGCGAATGGGTCACAGCAAATACATAAACCAGTGAGGAAGATGATTCTCGGAAGCAGAGAAGTTAGCCATGGTTACCTAGCTGCATCAAATTGAAAAAAATTTACATGCAATTTCTTAAAGACTAATTGTAAGTCAGAGGATTTGGAAGGTTTTTGAAAATCAACAAAAGACAACCAAAAACAGTGAGGGTGAAGATAAACTTTTAGTATAAACTTGCAAGCAATATGAAGATAGCTCAGTTACTTCAAATATATAAAAAGAAACAGAGAAGCTAACATGAATGTAGGCCCCTTAGAGAATGAGACTGGAGAAATAATAATGGGGAACCAAGAAATAGCAGCGGAATTGAATAAATACTTTGCATCAGCCTTCACAGTAGAAGACATTAATATCATTCCAGTAGTACGAAATATTCAAGTGGGAAAGGAGGACAGGAAATAAATATGATAGCTATCACGAGAGAAAAAGTTCTAGGGAAGCTACTGGGGCTAAAGACCAAGAATTTAAAGTAAATAGCTACAGAGATAGTTTGTGCACTGGCTGTAAACTTCCAAGTATCCTCAGATTCCAGAAGAGTCTCAGAGGATTGGAAAACTGTCAGTTTATAAGTTTACAACTAGAGGAGGGACACCAACTTATAAACAACACTCTCACTGCATCAAATTCACCGGGGAAGAAAAGAACTAACAGCTCCCATTCCTGCACATCATGGTAGAACACAGGGCCAATGGGGAATTTCTGACAAAGGTACACAGAAAGGCCACACACACACGGATCAAGTCCTGAATTTCTACAGCAACCACCCCAATACCCACAAACGGAGTTGCGAAAAAACACTATCTAAACAAGCGACAACACACTGCAGCAACCCAGAACTAAGCCAAAATGAAGAAGAATACCTCCACCAAATATTTAAGGACAACAGATACCCGAACAACTGGGTCTGACGATTCCTATCACACAAACAACGACAGGAAGATACAGGACGCCCTGACACACTCATCATGTTCCCATACATCAAGAACATATCCGAACTGACCACAAGACTTCGATGACCATTGGGCATCAGAGTAGCACACAAATCTACGTCAACCCTACGCCAACTGCTAACTGGAACTGAAGACCCCTTATCCACTATGGACAGAACCAACGTGATACACAAGATCCCATACAAAGGCTGTGACAAACATTACATTGGACAGACAGGAAGGAAACTGGCCACAAGAATATATGAACACCAACTAGCAACAAAAAGACACAGCCAATTCTCACTCGTCTGCATTCACACGCATAAGGAGAACCACCAGTTCGATTGGGATAACATCAGGGTCCTAGAACAGGCCAAACAGAGACAAGCACGGGAGTTTCTAGAGGCCTGGTTCTCCACCAAGAAGGCCATCAATAAACATATAGAACTAGACCCTATATATATGCCACTGCGAAGAAATAGTGGAAATGAGGCAATCAACTCCAATGGACCCAGAGTTTAAATACCAAGTGGGAAAACACAACAGCGTTTCATCGGAGGCTGCACTGATGATGTTACCCAGCAGGGTAATGAAACGTCTGTGAACTAACGAACGAGCTCAGCGAGTGAACCAACCACAGCAAAAGGGAGTCAGTTACAGGATGGCAACCTCCAATAGTGGCGTGCCACAGGGATTGGTGCTGGGGCCACATTGCTTTACATTAGATTTTAATGATTCTGATGAGGAAAGTAAATGTAGTTTGGCCGAGTTTGCAGAAAACACAAGAATAGGAGGAAAGGCAAGTGATGAGGATGATACAAGGAGTCTACGCTTGGATAAAGACAGGGTACATCAGTGGGTAAAAACTTAGCAGATGGAGTATAATGTGGGAAAACATGAGGTTGTGTACTTCGGTAGGAAACATGGAGAAACTGAATATTATTTAAATGGAAAAAGAGGTGGAAAGCTACATAAAAGAGGGATGTGGGAGTCCTCATGAAACAATCACAAAAAGCTAACACAATCACAAAAGCAAATGGAATGTTGGCCTTTATTTCAACAGGAACAGAGTATAAAAGTAGGGAGATTTTGCTAAAACTAGGCAAGGCACAAATCAGACCATAATTGGAATACTGTGAACAGTTCTGGGCCCCTTATTTAAAGGAAGATATACTGGCATTGGAGGCAGTCCAGGCAAAGCTCACTAGGCTGATATGGATGTGGACAGACTGTCTTATGAGGAGAGGTTGAATAGATTGGGCCTGCACTCATTAGAATTTAGAAGAATGAGAGGCAACCTTTTTGAAACATACAAGGTTCTTTGGAGATTTGACAGGGTAGAGGTGGAGAGGTAGTTTCCCTTTGTGGGATAGTCTAAGACCAGAGGACATAATCTCAGAATAAAGGGTCACACATTTACATCAGAAATGAGGAGGAATTTGTTCTCTCAAATGGTACGGAATCTGTCAAATTCTTGAGGCTGAGGGCTGTAGAGGCCAGGACGTTAAGCATATTCAAGGCTGAGATTCACAGCCTTTTAATCATTAAGGGAATCAAGGGTTATGGCAAAAAGGCAGGAGAGTGGAACTGAGGGTTATCAGGGACAAAAACAACGTTGCTGGAAAAGCTCAGCAGGCCTGGCAGCATCTGTGAAGGAAAAAGCAGAGTTAACGTTTCGGGTCCAATGACCCTTCCTCAGAACTGATGGTGGCTGGGAAAACGTCAGTTTATATCAGATCAGTCACTGCATGTTGGGGGAGACTCAATGGGCTGAATTGCCTATTTCCGTTCCAAATCTTATGATCTGGTGGTCTTAATATCTTAGAAGATGTGGTCTGCTGGTGGACACTGCCTTTTTACAGGAGAAGTGACTTATTAAACATAAAAACACATGCTTGTTGAAATATGTAAGATCACATCCTTGAGAGAATAACCTATTCATCAAACCAATTTTATATTTTACCAAAAAAAGAACCCAAAGAACTGTGGACGCTGGAAGTCAGAAACAAAAAGAGAAATTGCTGGGTTCTGAAGAAGGATCGCTGGACCTGAAATGTTAACTTTGCTTTCTCTCAACAGATATTGCCAGGCTTGCTGGGTTTTCCCAGCAATTTCTGTTTTTATATTTTACTAACGTCTCCTCACACTAATTAGAACAGTTTACACGAATCACAATGCCAAATGCTGCTGAAAAGTGTCAACCTGTTGTTAATGTCCAAGAATACATTGGAATTTCGTCAATTTTGCTAACTAACCTTTTTATGCTAAATATACATTTGGACATTTAAAACTAATACTCTTGTTATAATACGCAGTTTCACACTAAATTCAAACATCCTAAAAACTAAACAGAACTATTACTATGATGAAGTCAGATGCACTCTTAAGTAATTTAAATCTTCAGTTTTCTGACTGTTTCCAGTAACAAAATTAAATCAATGCATCATTGAGTGTCAGAGGCCGAGGGGTGACCTGATAGAGGTTTATAAAATCATGAGGGGCATGGATAGGGTACATAGACAAGATCTTTTCCCTGGGGTGGGGGAGTCCAAAACTAGACGGTATAGGTTTAAGGTGAGAGGGAAAAGATTTAAAAGGGACCTGAAGGGCAGCTTTTTCACGCAGAAGGTGATGCGTGTATAGAGTGAGCTGCCAGAGAAAGTGGTGGAGGCTGGTACAATTACAACATTTTTTAGAGGAATTTAGGATATCTGGTCAGCATGGATGAGTTGGACTGAAGAGTCTGTTTCTGTGCTGTAGAACTCTATGACTCTATCATATTTTGTTAGTTCGTCATCATTATACTGTGGAAACTTGTAGTTTTACTTACACAAAAACATAAGAAACAGGAGCAAGAGTAAAATCATTCAGCCTTTTCAACTCTGTAGTTTAATAAGATCATGGTTAATCTGACTGAGGTCTCAACTCTACACCCCTGTCTGTCTCCTAACTCCCAACTACTAAGTACAAGCAGGATCTGTCAAACTCAGCTATGACTATATCCACTGGTCTCAGAAGGAAAGAAATCCATTGACAAACAGCTGTCTGAAAGAATCATTCCTACCTTAAATGGGGAATCCCTCATTCTGAAACTGTGCCCTCAAATTATATGCAACCATATAAGACCAGAAGAAATAGGAATAGGAGGGGGCCATTCAGCCCCCTCGAGCCTGCTCTGCCATTCAGTATGATCATGGCTGATCTGACATTCCTCACATCCACTTTCTGCCTTATCCCCATAACTCCTGATTGTCCTCCTGATCAAGAATCTATCTATCTCAGCTTTAAATATACAACCCCAAAACTCTCTGAGTTCCAAACACTCACAATCCTCTGAAAGAAGAAATTCCTTCTCATCTGAGTTCTAAATTGGCACCCCTTTATTCTGAGACTATACCCTCTGGTCTTAGACTTTCCCATGGGGGGAAACATCATCTCAGCATTTAATCTGTCAAGCGCCTTAAGAATCCTATATGTTTCAATGAGATTGCCTCTCATTCTTCTAAATTCCAATGAGTAAAGTCCCAACCTGTTTAATCTTTGCTCATAAGACAATCCCTCCATACCAGGGTAATCCTAGTGAACCCTCTCTGAACTGCCTCCAATGAAATAATATCTTTCCTTAAATAAGGGGAGCAAAACTGCTCTCAGTACACCAGATGTGGTCTCACCAACCCCTTGTGCAGTTGCAACAAGAATTCCCTACTCTTATATTCTAACCCCCTTGGAATAAGGGCTAACATTCCATGAGCCTTCTTGATTACCTGCTGCACCAATGTGCTAGCTTCCTGTGTTTTGTGCACAAATGCCCCCAAGTTCCTTTGTGTCGGAGCTTTCTGTAGTTTTTCTCTATTTGAATAATACTCCTCTTTTGTTCTGCTTTCCAAAATGAGCAGCTTAACATTTTCCCACATGACACACCATTTGCCAACTTTTTGCCCACTTACCTAACCTATCAACATCTGTTTGTATTCCTCTTACAACCTGCCTTTCCATCCATTTTTGTGCTGTCTGCAAATTTGTCTGTAATACATTCACGGCCTTCCTCCAAGTTTATTCTCTTAGAATCTTTCCTCTTAACTGGGATATATTTTTGCTGAGAGTCATGAATTACCTCCTTAAATATCTGGCATTACTTGCTTACTGTCTTTCCTGCGAATCTATCTGCCCAGTTCACCTTAGCTAACTCTATCCCCATTTCATTATTATTTCCTTTATTTAAGTTGTTTCACACTCTCAAATTGAATATTAAGTTCTATTGTGTTATGATCACTACTGCCCAGGGGATTCCTTACACATCTTCTCAGCAGTTACCTCGTCATACGCCCTCTTATAGGTTACAACAAGTCAAGTTTCGTTCTCCTAAACTCCCGTGCCTATAGGCTCAACCTTCTCAAACCTTCCGAAAAAGACAATACCTCATTGGCCGAGGAATTAACCTCGTGACCCTTCACTGAACTGTCCAATGCAAGTGCGTCCATCCTGAGATAAGGAAACCAAAACTGTACATAGAACTCTAGATGTGGTGCCCCCAGTGCTATGTACAGTTGTAGAAAGACATATGCTTTTTATTGAAGCTGACATTCCATTTTGCCTTCCTATTTACCTGCCCTACCTTCACATTATCACTTCGTGAATCAAGGACTCCTGAATCCCTCTGTACAATGGCATTCTTTAGTCTATTTCCATTGAAATAACAATCTGCTTAGCCATACCTTTTTCCCCATTATACTTCATCTACCAAATTTTAGACCTCTCACTTAACCTATCTATACCTCTTTGCATACTCCTCATAGCTTGCTTTCCTACCCATCTTTATATCATCAGCAAATTTGGCCGTAACACTCTTAGTCCCTTCATCCAAGTCACTAATATAGATCATAAATAGTTGAAGTCTTAACACTGATCATTGTGGCATTCCACTCATTAGAAGGTGTCAACCATTTACCTCAAAACTCTGTTTTCTGTTTGTTAACAAATCATCTGTCTATTATACATTATCCCAAATACCCTGAGCTCTTATTTTGTGTTGTAACTAATTATATAGCAACTTATTGTATGTTTTCCGAAGTCTGAATACATTACACCTACTACACATTTTGTTAAACCCTCAAAGAACATAATAAATTAATCAAGTACAATTTCCCTTCCATAAAACCATTTAGGTTCTGATGAAGGGTCTAGGCCCGAAACGTCAGCCTTTCTGCTCCTATGATGCTGCTTGGCCTGCTGTGTTCATCCAGCCCTGCACCTTGTTGTCTAGGTTCTATCCTGGTCCATCCACATTGACGCTACAGTCAAGAAAGCAGACCAACACTTCTACTTCCTCAAGAGGCTAAGGAAATTCAGCACGCCCTTAATGACTCTTACCAATTTTTATAGATGCACAATAGAAAGCTGATCCAGACGCATCACAGCTTGGTATGGCAACTGCCGTGCCCAAGACCACAAGAAACTACAGAGAGTTGTGAACACAGCCCAATCCATCGCACAAACCAGCCTTCCTTCCATTGACTCTGTCTACACTTCCTGCTGCTCCGGGAAAGCAGCCAACATAATCAAAGACCTCGCCCACCCCAGTTATACTCTTTTCCACCTCTCCCATCGGGCAGAAAATACAAATGTTTGAAAACACGTACCAACAGATTTGAGAACAGTTTCTTCTTTGCTGCTATCAGACTTATGAGTGGGCCTCTCATATATTACAGCTGCTCTTTCAACACTATATTCTGCACTAATACCCTGATTGTAGAATTCCTACAGTGTGGAAGCAGGCCATTCATCCTATCAAGTTCGTACTGACCCTCTGAAGAACATCCCACTCAAATCCACCCCCTGCCCTATCCCCATAGCTCTGCATTTTCTCATGGCTAACCCACCATATTGTGGGTAACTTTGCATAGCCAATCTATTGGACTGTGGGAGGAAACTGGAGCACCTGGAGGAAACCCATGCAGACACAGAGAGAATAGCTGCCCAAGGGTGGAATTGAACCTGGGTCTCTGGCACTGTGAGGCAGCAGTGCTAACCACTGTACCACCGTGTTGCCCTCACATATGTAAGGCATGATTTTGTCTGGTTAGCACACAGAATAATACTTTTCACTATCTCAGTACATGTGACAATAATAAATCAAATCAAAATCAAATAGGTGGTCAAGCGCAGGTAAGGATGATGTATTTCCTTCCCTAAAGTATATTAGTGATCCAATTTGATTCTAAAATCGTCAAGACTCAAAGTTATCGTCACCAATGTGAATGGACAACCAAGATATTCCTAAAACGTGTTTCTGTGTCGGAGCTTATTGCCAACGTTAAACAGATTCCTTTAAATGCCAGGAACCTCTGTGTTCAGCTCATTTTAATAATTATTCCACACTGCCCAAGCATTTTTGACTTTTATATAGACAGCTACCCAAATCTAGCCAGCAGGTGAAATCTCAGTGTAGTTGTACACATAATAGTAACTGGTTTCAGACTGTCCCAGTCATTGTAAAAGCTCCCAAAACAATCTGAAGTGTTTATCACACATTGCCACTGCTGGGAAGAGAAGAATTTCCACTTCAAAATGCATCAAAAGGAACAACATTTGAAAGTATTAAAAAATCCTTAGGAAAGTGACTGCGTGCTACAGAAGTGAACTCCTTCCTTGCTGACTATCAAGATGGAGTTCCGGATGTGGATGTGAGATAGGTTTCTCTGTCTGGCGTTTCATTGTGACAAATCACAAGCAGAGGAGGGGATAGGCTGGTTACAACACCCACCAGAGCTAGGATCCCTGAAAAGTCATCACACTCCAAAGAATCTGGCAGGGTAAGACTCGTTACCAATTTTGCCGAGATAGACAGATTTTTAATCAGTAAGGGAATCAAGGGTTATGAGGAAAAGACAGGAAAGGAGAGGTGCGGATTATCAGGTCAGCCATGATTTCATTGAATGGCAAAGCAGACTTGATGGACTGAATGGCCTAAATTCTACTCTTACATCTTACAGTCTTATGGTCTTTAATCTCACCATGGAGGGGGCAGAAGATTGAAGATTGCATATATTGTTTGCTGTCGATCTATCCTTTACTTATTGGCAATCTTTTCATTTACTCTCAGATACACCTTTACCTCAGTGAGGCACACCTTCCAAATATAGTGTATGATTGAAATTCTTGCTGTACTCTTCTTCCAAGAGTATTGTACCGAATGAAGATATGACACAAGTTGCACGAGAAGCAGACTCTCAGTAATTCTTAGCACAGCCCATAAGTTGTACATTCCTGTCACCCTATATCTACTCCTTCAACTTCCTGCATCCCAAAGCTGTTTTACCAATTACATACAATGGCATCTGAATGCCCAACTGGAAAAGATTTCCCTTGACGAAGCATGAGTGGTGAAGGCATCTCTGAAGTAGCTTGCAGATTTCCAGGGATCCAATATAAATGCTGCAAATAGCATGATTATGGGATGTGTTCGTGGTACAGTCTGATGCCAAGGTGTAAGGTCTCAGAGTCTGATCCCAAGGTATCTGTTGCATGTATTGGGCCTGCTCCAAATCTAGAAAGTCTCAATCAATCTTTTCAGAATTTATTTTTACAGATTGTTTAAATCATGGGTAATCAAAAAATCTTATGAAAGGGAACAATTTAAAATCTCAGAGAAGCACCCAGTTAGTGCTGCTCATCAGAACAGGGAGAAGCCCATTCAGCGGCTTGAGCCTGTTTTGTCATTCACTTAGATCCTGGTGTATCTGTAGTTTAACTCCATCCACTTGTCTAGTCCCATGCTCTTAAAAAACCCTGACCCAACAATATCTAGCAATCTCAATTGTCAACCTCTCAACAGCTTTGAATGGGAGAAAGGACAGAGGAAACAGTTTAATCTTCTTAAGATAGTCTGTAAGGAACTGGAAAAAAAAATTATTTCATCATCATTCAAAAAGAGTTGTTTCATTCTTAGATTTGAGACCTTTCTACTTTGGGAATTAGAGAGGGAAAAGGACCATTGTTATAAAGAGAAGGCTATAAATGATTTTGTCTTATAGTCTTGTGTATTCTTCGAAAAATGTATTTGCTTCATTTTTAAAACTTAAATACATTCTGCTCTCTCGTTTTCAGAGACCAGAGAGAGAGACTCTGACCCATAGGAACAGTACAGTAACTTAGAGCAATCGCCAGATAGGGACTTGAATTTTGTCTTCACTACCTATGGGGAGGATCTAGTGGAGCCTGCTTCCAATGTCCCATTCCCCTGGACCCAAATCACCACACTCTGTGCTCCCAACTCCCCACTCTCTCTGCTCCCAATTTCCCACTCCCTCTCTCCCAATTC